CTTTTTGTCAATAGTAAAATTGACTTTGGATGCCAATTTTGTGTAGATTCTAGTGTGTGGCACGTAAATAAGCGGAGAGAGATTTGAGTAAAGAAATTACACAGGTAAACCTTTCTATCGGCTGCCTACCCTTGGGTAGTCTATATCATGGGGATTGGGTAGTCTGCACCATAGAGAAAGGCCACCAACCATGCATGCTACAGGCCATATACAAAATACTTGTAGGATAACTAAAACATAAATGTGCACCTAAAAGCTAATATACCAGCTAATTTCCCAAGCTATCAAAACCCCAAACCTATATCAATAACTGGTTCAATAAACAAGAAACTGAAATCAGATCTCAGAAAATACAATCCAAGGCTTACATTTATATGTTGAAGGTCCTCAAGCAGTACAATGATTAAAAGACTTGACACAGGCTCACGTAAAGGGGTCAGAAAGCAGAAGAAAGCATATTATCTTGCATAGAGCATGATAATCTATAAGGAAAGTTGTTAAATGATGATGTCAATGTGCTTCACTATTCACTAGGGAAAATTTAGACATCCAGTTTTCCAGGAGCTGCCATACAATGGAATGGGAAACAGGTGAAAATTTGAATGGTCATCAAATATCAAAACAGACTGGTCAGGCAAACATCCTCTAAGATAGGATTAGGAATTGAGTCAAGTGACTCAATGGTACCAGACTTAGCCTCAACTTCCTTAAGGTGGTAGAGGTTGGGGGTTCGAGTCTGGGAAGGCTCCAAAAGACCTCTTTGGTGGGGTGAGGAATAACCCAAGTACCACCTTGGGGAAAGCCAGCCTCCGCTGCAGTGATGTGGGTGGGTCCAGTCCAAAAGACTCCCGAGAGGGTGGGGTGAGGGCTATTACAATAGATGCTCATACTAAAGTATAAAAGTGTGTGAAAAATGATTTATATGTGAAAGCGATAGTTTAAGTTATAGTATAATACATATATATGCTATACTATAGTTTTTGGTTACTTTAGCATGGTTATTTGTGGTAATAGGCATTGAATGAACTATATTAGTTACTGAGATTTTTATCTCACTCGTAGTTATTCATATTTTTAGGTTCTGATACTAGTGAGTCAAAGGGGAAGGACATAAGCTGAGTTGACATCTCTCGCCTAAGCCTTTTATAAGAATTGGTGTAATGAATCTATAAATTGTTAGATAAGAATGTGTATAAGTTGCCTTAAGATTCAAACATGTACATAGTGTGGAATGTTGTGTTTTATTGGTTTCAAGCTCCCTAGCCCTTTGTACATGTAAATGGTGAAATAATAGAGTGAGCTAGTGGATGAATGTGTATGTGTGAGAATATGGGATGTTTGAAGTGTATGTGTGATGATTTGAAGTTGTATAAAATTAAAGAATAAGGAATGAGATTTGGCCTAAAAGTATGATGTGGGCGGTTTATAGGCCAAATATGTGTATGTATGTTATATTGTGTATTTGTATGGTCAATCAGGTATGTATTGTCCATTTGGACATGATCAAGGCCCAAACAGGGGCTAATGACATTTGGTTTCAAATTGATATGCTCAAGTGACAAAATTTTGGCACAAAACAGCCAAAATGCACTTGGTGTCCAATTTTGGAAAGAAATATTAGATTGAAATGAAACTAGTGTTATTAGTTAGATTTCAAAGCAAGTTTTGTGTGGGTGCTTGAACCACCTCAATCGAACATTGGATGCGGAAATGGTGTACATCTGAATTTTGCATTAGAAATTTGCAAAATGACAGTAAAATCAAGTGTGTGCGTCGCGGTGCATGTATCCACTTGCCACGGTACACAGCATAGATCAAGCAACTGTAGTCATTGTGCCACATGCCGTGTCGCATGTGGCACGAGCCACAGCACACAGTCTCAAATTTGACTTAATTTTATTGAAATGCACATGCTTTTCTTAGTCTTGGATGTACTTTTACTTATTGCTTTTGTTGTGTGTAGGGTTTTATAACCTAAGTGATTTGTAAAATGATTTTGATAATATGTTCTTAAGATCCCAAGGTTTTCAAAGTTTTCAAATTTAATGATTTGAAGTTGATTGGTAGGTAGGTAATGGAGCATATGGTAATATCAGTGAGGGCATTACAACATGGAGATCAAAGAAGATGTCTTGGAGATGGGAGCTTACAAAGCATTGAGGCCAGATGGATTACAACCTTTCTTCTTTCAAGATCAATTGGGTGTAATTGGTCCCTCTATATGTATGCAACCTGGTGAGATCAATTTTTGCAAATCCTGATGGCATTACTAAGATCAATAATACCCTAATTGCTCTAATTCCAAAAGTGGAGAACCCTAAAGCAATCAAGGAATTTAGATCAATCTCTCTTTGTAATATTAGCTACAAAATTGTCTCTAAAGTTCTTGCAAACAGACTGAAACCAATTATGAATAAGGTGATTGGCCCATATCAGAGTAGTTTCATCCTAGGTCGCTAGAGTAGTGACAATATTATTGTTGCACAGTTATATAAAGGTGATTTACACAATAAGAAACTTGAAGAAAAAAAGGTTATATGGCTATGAAAGTAGATCTTGAGAAGGCATATGGTAGAGTTGATTGGAATTTCATCTATCACATTCTTACTGAACTTGACATCCAGGTTGGCTTACGTAGGGTATTTATGGCTTGTATTAGTTTAACATCTTTTAAGGTTTTATGGAATGGTGACCAAACTAACAGTTTTACTCTTATTAGGGGTCTCCATCAGGGGGATCCATGTCTCCTTACTTGTTTTCTTTGTGCATGGAGAACTTGAACCATATCATCTCTGATGAGGTTGAAGTGAGAAATTGGAGACCTATCAATCTTGTAAGAGGGGGACTAAATATTACTCATCTCTTATTTGCAGATGATCTAGTGCTATTTGCTGAGGCATCTTCTGACCAGGTTGAGGTAATTAATGGTTGCATCTAAAAGTTTTGTTTCTATTCTGGCCAAAAGATGAATAGGGATAAGACTCATATGTGTTGCTCAAGTAATGTTCATTTTAATAGATCTTTAGAATTGAGTAAATTGATGCAAATTAATTTGATATGGGACTTGGGAAAATACCTTGGAATCCCACTGATCCATAAAAGAGCGTCATATTTTTTGTTCGCTCTGATCCTGGAAAAAAGTCAAGAGTCGCATGTTTGGTTGGAAAAGAAAAATGTTAAATGTGGCTGGGATAGCTATTTTGATCAAATCCGTTATTTCAGTAATGCCTAGTTTCTACATGTAGATTATGCTCCTTCCAAAAAAACTACTTGGAGAGGTGGAGAAAGAATGTAGAAACTTTCTTTAGGGAAAGAGGAAAATGGAAAGAAACTCCATCTATTGGCTTGGACGGAAGTCATTATGAGTAAAAAAATTAGAGGGTTAAGCATTAAGGATTTGAACTTGTAGCATAGAGCTTTCATGTTTAAACTTTATTGGAATCTTCTAGCCAATGATAAAGCCTTGTAGGTGCAAGTCTTGAAAGCTAAATATAAATGTGGCATGGATGTTGTCCCCTCAGTTAAGGGAAAAGCGAGTGCCTCTCTGATATGGCAAGCTATTGTGAATTGCTAGGATAGCTTTACTAAGAGTGTAAAAAAAAACAAAGAATGGGGAATGGTAGAAGCACTAAATTTTGGATAGATTTATAGGGGTGCTGTGATATTCCACTGGCTCATATTGCAATTGATAGCACTTTCAATGCCGATAAAATAGTTGCAAACTTTATTTTGAGTACAGGGACTTAGGACCTTCAGAAAATGAGGATATTATTGCCTAGCCATGTTATAAGCCGTATTGCCCACACTAATGTCCCGAGAGATGAGAGAGGTGAGGATATGTTTGTTTGGAACCCATCCTCGAATGGAAACTTTAATATTTCTTCTGCCTACAAATTTCTTCTTGCAAGTACTCCTTCGTTGGTAGGAGAAATTTAGAGTAAAATATGGTGTTGGACTAGACTTGAGAAGATCAAAATTCATTTATGACTAGTGGCTAAAGATAGATTGCATATTGCGAAGCTAAGAGCTAAACATAATCTACAACAATCTGATCGTTGTACTGCGGGTTGCAACTGCAAGGAGGATGTTATGCATATACTTAGACCAGAAGTAGAGGAGAGTTGGAAAAAGATAGTGAAGGAGGAGGAATGGAGAAAGTTCAAAAGGCTACAAGGAATGGAATGGCTTCTTTGGAACCTTAAAAACTTACTTGGTAATAACATAACTCAAAACATGCCTTAGGATGTTCTATTTGGATATATGTGCTGGGATAATTGGTGTACTAGATGTAAAGGAATCTTCTCTGATGATACCAATGTGGATCCTAGTCAAAAATTGGACACACTTTGGTGAGTAAAAAATGATCTAGACCTATTGCAGCTATCCATAAGGATATCATCTAACAAAGGAAGGAGTCATGCTCAGTGGTATAGATCGGAGGAGAATGTGGTGAGATTAGATGTAGATGGATCCTACAAGGACGGCATCTCATTTTTGTGGTGGTGTGGTAAGAAATAGCAATGCGGAATGGATTGTTAGTTTTAATTCATGTGTGGGATCTTTTCTCCTGTTATAATAGAGATTGTTAGTTTTAATTCAAGGAGTGGAGCTTTGTTTTGACAAGGGATTTCATAAAGTTAGTCTTTGCACAGATTGTATTAAGGCAATCAATTCAATGATCGGAGAAGAATAATCACCCATATAGGGATATTTTGACTTACACCAAAGTCATTTTACGTGAAAATCATTTTGTTTCTTTAAATTTTATGTTTGGAGAAGCAACCAATTATGCCCATTTACTTGCCAGTTTGGTTGAAAACCTTATTGAATTCTTTTACTCTCTTGATCAACCCCCATCTAAATGTAGAGAGGCGTTAGATGATGATAATAGATGGTTATTTTTATGCATTGAAATAACCTCTGTTGGTTATTAATGGTTAATGCATCTTTTTTATTAAAAAAAAAAGTTAAAAAAAAAAAAACAAACCCGAACGAACGAAGCCTAGGGGAGTAGATCAGCAGAATCGAATCACCTTCACGGCTTCGCCTTCGCCTTCGTCTTTTCTTGCCTTCGCCTGCGTCTCTTCTCTCAGGTGGTCGGCTGAAGCTCGCTCTTTCTCGCCTCTCTCTCACCCTCACCAAGTCACCGTCGTCTCTTCTCTGCTCAGCTCGCTGCCTAGCCGTCGCTCGTCTGACTTCACCTTCGTCTCTGCTCAGCTCGCTCTCGCCTCACTTCACCTTCGTCTTCTCGGCCTTGGGTCTAGGCCAGGCGCCTTCATCTTTCTCTCGCTGTCGTCACTCAGGTAGGCTGTCTTTCCTCTGTACCTCGATCTCGATTGCTTTGCTTCTGATTCTGTTCCTTGGTTCTTCTGTTTTTCTTCAATTAGTAAACCATAGCCAGTCATAGTTGGTGATTTCTGATTTCTAATTTATATTTATATTTTCTTAAATAAAATGTCTGCTGCTCAAAGGATATATTCTATAGATGATGAGTTAGGCTTAGAGGGTTTGAAACTGATGATGAGTTAGACTTAGAAAATGCAAGTGTTGCTACTGCTGCTACTCCTAATATTAATGGTGGAAGAAGAGAGGAATGTGGTGGTATTGATGAGAAAAACAAGAAAAAAAGAAAGATTTATTGTTTGAAAGTCTTTTACTAAGGTACTTGTTAATTGGGTACCAAAAGCAAAATGTTGTGGTTGTGGAATGCTGTATAAGATGGGTAGTAAATCGTATGAGACTTCTACTCGCTGCTGTCATGTTAAAACTTTTCAACCCCCATAAAATATCATGATGTTGGTGTAATGAGGATAAATCATGAAGGAAGCTTGTTTCTAGGAAAATTAATCTTGGAGTTTTAAGAGAGATACTTTCTATGGCTATTATTGAGCATGATCTTCTTTATTCCTATGTTGAATACAAATGGGTAAGGAAAATATGGTTGTATTTAAATCTTGATGCCACCCTTTTTTTAAGAAAAAAATGTTGTGTCAGATGTTAGGAAATTGTATGGTAATCTAAAAAGAATTTTGAAGGAAACAATGCTAAAAAGCCTTGGTAGAATATGTTTAACATCTGATTGTTGGACTGTTGTAATAACTTTACAAGGAAACATATGTTTAATTGCTCATTTTGTTGATAACAAGTGGAGGCTTAATAGCAAAATACTCTCTTTTTGTAAGATAGAGTCATCACACTCTGGGGTGGAATTGGCAAAAAAAAAAAAAGTGCATGAATGCTTGATAAAGTGGGGCATTGCTAAAAAAGTGTTTTCTATTACATTAGATAATGCTTTAGCAAATAATAACATGCAAGAAATATTGAGAGAGAGATTGAGTTGGCAATGTAGGTTGGTATGCAATGGAGAATTTTTTTATGTGAGATGTTGTGCCCACATTTTAAATTTAAGGATAAATTGGCTCATTGATTGAAAAAAAAATTGGTGCTTAAATATGGACCAAATTTTTAAAAATGTAGGAGTGTGGCCGATTTACATTGATATACAACGGCTTATCATTGGTATATAAAGGGTTTATCATTAAAAATTTGAAAATTGATAATGAGTTTATCATTGATATACAATGGTATATTATTGACAAATATAATAAACAGACTATAATACAAAATATTTTAAATGTTGAGCTGTTTACTTAATCTGTTCTTATAATATGGGCTGTTTTTACAAAAGCCCCTAAATTTAATAGTTCAGGGGGTTTGAAGGGGGCAAGTTCTGCATTGCAGGAAATCAGAAAGAGTATTAAATATGTTAAACAATCAGAGATGAGGACGATTACTTTTAAGAGGTGCATTGAGCAAGTTAGGAGTGTTGACACATCAATTGGTTTAAGAACATATTGCCCCGTTAGATGGAATTTTACATATGCAATGCTTAAAAGTGCAATTAAATATCACTGTGCTTTTAATAGCTTTGCTATAACTGACAAAAGTTATAAGTTCAGTCCTTCCACTAAAGAATGGAGGAGAGCGGAGGAGATATGTAGTTTATTGAAGCCCTTTGATATAAATCATAATCCCACCACAATACCATGGCTCGACCTTTGACCGATGGAGGGGAGCTGCTGTTGAGGTCATAACTCGTAATAATAATGGGAGGAAATGTTGCCGGAGTTGGAGAGATTCGATGGAGAAGACATGGTGACCTCGTTGATAGTGGAGGGGCATCCATGTGTTTGAAGGGTTGACAGAAGCTGAAAGTTATTGTAATAGGAGGGAGAAGAAGTAGTTGAAGGTATGATTGAGAATTTGAGATAGTGTATGCTTGAAACTTTCTTTTGGCCCCAAATGGCCTTCAAGTCTTTCGATCGACACATACTTCTTCTTATATCTTGCGGAGGATGACAACATGTGAAGAGAGACTTGAAACAATTCCTTAGTGTCATTAGTAACAAAAGTAAAAAACTCCACTTGCTTACTTTCAATTTGTCTAAGATTGCTACTTTGCCCATGGCCCCAGGCTCTATTATCAACACACACTACATGATTCTTTACTCAGCTCAGTAGTGGTTCTTGGTCTCAATTTTGAAATTATCAGTACACTCTTCATGGTTCTTTTCTTTACCTAGCCTCGGGCTCTATTTGCATCCTATTTTGTTTTTTGCACGCGTAATTAAGAAGGTTAGGTTTATTGGTGACTGTAACTAGTTTTCTTACGGATGGCTTGCAGCTTGCTTGCTTCTATAATAATTGATGTATTGGTATCCTGGGGAAGCATAAACTTTTGCTCATTTGTGGTATTTCTCTTTATGTTAAGCCATTTAATCTTAATCCTCATTAAATCAGATCACCTGGTTCAAAAGATTATTTGTAGAACTAGAGAAAATATTTCAAAAGGCTCAACTCAATTATGATTTGTTTTAAATTACATTTAGTCCATGTGTTACAAATTACAATGATGTAGTCGACATATGACTTACTCAGATATATTCTGATTTTTGCTCCACAAAATATTCTATATCCCAGTTTTCATCTACTCCTTTAAATGATTTGTTGCTAGCCTTCGCAAAGATATAACAAAACCTAATATTACATGTTGAAAACCTAACCCTATTTGTTTGATGACTTGGATGGTATTTTACTCTGCTAATTTCTGTGAACTTCTGGTAGATAGAAAAACTTGTTGAATCCTTATGCCCCGTTTGGTACGTTGGAAATGATTTTTATGAATATGGAAATGAAAATGGATATGGAGATGGATATTGAAATGGATATGGATATAAGATTTAAAAATATGTTTAGTATATCAATGGAATTGGTAAATTATTTTTATTTATTATTGATATTTAAAATATTAAAAGACAAAAATACCCTCTTCCCAAAAAAAAAAAAATCAACCCATCGTCTTGCAGAACTCAGGCCACCGGTGATACCGTCCATAGCCAAAAATCCACAATTTCACCTTCAACAAAAATGATTTCACCTTCACCCATCAAGTTACAATACAGAATTTGAAGAACAAGAATCAAGGAACCTAAAGAAGAAGAAGATCTTGTGATGGAAAGAAGATGAAGCTAGAGAAGTCACAATTTCACCTTCGAAGATGAATCGAAGGTCTGGAAAATAAAAAGACATCATCAACAGCACGCATCCTCATCATCATCGCGGTTGAAGTAGGGAAAGGTGAAGACGATCTTCTACAAGTTTTGGTTTCAGGCTTCGATTTCTACCTTCTACAAGTTTTGGTTCTCCAGATCTGCAAAATGGGGAAGATGAAGATGAACTTCTACAAGTCTTGGTTTCTGGGTTCGATTCCTATCTTTTAACATTTTTGGTTCTCCAGATCTTTGAAGTGGGGAAGAAGATGTAGATGAGCTTCAGCCACTGTCGCATCCTTGCCATCAATGCCGTCGACATCATCGCACCCTTGCCCTGTCGCTGTTGCTGTCCTCACTGTTGTCTCACCATTGTGCTTGCCACCTTCCCACCATCCTCCTCGTTGATAAGTTGCAAGGGTAACATGGTCCAAGCTTTGGTGGAAATGGACCTCCATGCTCTCCCCTATGGAAGTCAATTCCATCAATTTTGATGGAAATGACTTCCATATGGAAGTGTAATTCAATCCAATTTTGCCTAACCAAACATGCAAAAGTTTAAATTCCATTTCCATATCCATTTCCTTACTCTCAATTCTATGATACCAAATGGGGCATTAGGGATTTGGATACATTTCTTGTAGATGAAGTATCTTTCAGAACTGTGATATTACCCATTCTTCAAGTTAATAGTTTTCTCTCATATTTCCAATAGAATGTGAGACCTATTGAAAAATATATTTATATGCTAATATATATCCATCCATAATTAGTTTGATCAATCAATTTTGTAAACTTAATCGCACCCATGCTAAAAGTTTATTGATATTCTCATCTGACTCGCAGGGACTGTTAGTGTTTTGCTGGAGCCTTGAAGAGTTTGAAGCTCCAGAACCTTTTTTGTTGAGCAAGTAATGGCTTGGAGGTCTTGCTCCCGCGCTAGCTTCCTCTCATGTATTCTAAGGTCTGCAAAATCACAATGGCTACCAGTATCCAAAGGCCAGGTTTCTTCTCATGCACACTTGTGTGAAGATTTATTGCTTAACGGTGATTGAAAAAATTGGTTTCCATCATATTTCATTGACAGTAGCTGAAACTTGTCATGCATATCTTGATTACAGGTCAGAAACACTTTATGAATCCTATTGCTTTACGGAGTTGTTGTGATAATGGGTCTCTGTTGAATTTTCAAGGTTAGATTTTCTGCACAAAAAGTTAACTATAGTCCGTCTACAAAAATTTCTTAGGGAAGCAAAATTGAGGTTCGACATTATAACATCATAGGAGTCCTTTGTTAGTATATAGTAGGCGTAGGAAGCAACCAAGAGGGTGCTCCTAAACCCTAAACCAAGAGATTTCGACTTCTGTAGACACAAAAGTTACTCACATTCGATAACTCCCTCTGCCATGTCAGAGTTTTATGCTTTCAGTTTAGTTTAAAGTGTTGCGTTGTCATCTCGTACTGTGCTGTCAATCTATTAGGCTAATTAGAATGACATGCTGTCCTTCAACCATTAAAACGGTTACATGTCATCTGATATATGTTTTTACTTTCAGTTTATGGAATGAAAAGGTATTTTTAGTTTGTAATTTCAGGAGATTCTCCCAACGGCTTGTTTATGAAGCAAGATTCTTGCCTCAAATTAACTAAGATCCTCTCTCTCTTAACAACATCCCTACTGTTCTGGGTTCTAGCATAAAATGACCAAATCCATAAGAAGAAATGTTTTATTGACCTCAAACTTGCTATTAGTAATGGTTTTTGGTTTGGTGCCTTTTGATCTCACGAATTAAATTTGCAGGATTGAGATCATATGCTCGTGGTGGACCCAGAAAATATGATCTCTTTGGAAGTGGAATACCAGGGGGCAAAGAGTTCAGAGAAGCTTGGGCCAAAGAGATGGAAGAAGATAACACTCTGTGGACTGGAAGTGAGGATGAAAGTGATGGAGAAAAGGACTCGGAAAGTCGTCTCAAAAAAGAAATTCGGAAAGTAAGACAGCAAGCTAAAGAGCATTCAGACCTGATTGATGCTGATGACAGTGATGAGCTAAGAAGTGTTTGGTCTGGCAGTGATGAAGAGAAGACACTATGGACTGGTGATGAAATGGATAGTGATGATGATATTCCCACAGAACCTTACCCAAACGAAAGCAGTGACAAATACATAGATAAATTATTCGAGTTCGAAGAAATGCCAAAGTATCGGACAATTTCAGAGTTGCTGAAATCTGAACAAGAACCTGAGGAGCTGTCCCCAGGGAAAAAAGCAAGGAAGCTTGCAGTTGAGAATGCTTTGAAGAAATTAAAGAAGGGTCCTGATGGGCGATACACTAATGTGTGGGAGGTCATGAGTGATATTGACATTCTAATTGGAGCATTTGAGAATGTTGTTTCAGGACCAGAGTACGCAGAGCTGAGACAAGGAGGGCCTAAGAAACTGAATATTCAGTTCTTCAAGGATATACAAGCACGCATGAGAGATCCAAATTACAAGTTTTCACCAGAGTTAAAATTGAAGCCAAAGAGTAAACTGGTTTCCAGAAAGAAGTGGCAAAAGGCACAATCTAGGAGGAGGAAAGCACAAAAAAGATAAGTTATTGTCTCGAGATAAAGTCAAGTTGCTTGTATGATGTTCGTATCAATATCATGTTAAACTAAATGACAAAAGAACCAACATCAATTATTTTGACAACACAATACTTAAAAAATCATCAATCTTTTGGGAAATAAGGTTTGGAGGCTGGCCAAGCTTGAGTCTTTTTTTTTCTCAGGACCTATTAAGGCCGAGCTTAGAAGTTCAATTTTTCAAAAAAATCACCAATTTTCAAGTTTGAACCCTTATCTAAATACGGCCTGGCTTTTATTCCCAACTGTAGCCTTTAGCCATATCTAATAGCATCCTTCTGGGAGAAACATAAACTAATCATCCAATACCAAACACAACATTTAATAAAAAAGTATGCAACATGCCTAATTTTTAAATTGGATTGAAGGTAATTTTTGTTCTTCAATTATTCGTTCAGGAGTATTTGGTATTTTAGATGAAATATAGTGTAATTTCCCACCAATATTTGAAAAATAGTGTATTGAGTATTTGATATTGAAAAAGTTAACTTTTGCTTAAAAATTGCAGAAAAAGATAAAAAAATTGCAGAAAATGACTCATAAAATTACACATAGTACCTTGCAAGAAAATTGTATTTTGATATTTTACATAGGTAAGAAATAACATTTATACTTTGTTCTTTATATGTAATTTAGAAGATTTATTCACTATTAATTTTCTTATAACGTAAGTATTTGAAATTTTATGTGTTCTTTTTTTTTGGTAATTTTTAGGTCTGTTTTATAATTTTTCATTCAACCACCAGTAAAAGTTAACTATTTTAGCCAGCTGCTTCGTGCTTTTGTGGTTTACTTTAGTGTTTGTAAACTTTAAGACATGAGTTCTATCAATGACTGGCATCCAAAAAAAAAAAAAAATGTTAACTATCTTAATAACAAGGTTTCTAGTGCTTCATTTTCAAATATTGAAGGAGGAAATTATATCATATGTAAGTTTAGGATACCAGATATTCTTGAGTAAATAGTTAAGGGGTAAATATGTTATTTAACTCTATTAGATTTTAGAAACCTTAAAGGAAATTACCTCTACATCTCTCCTTGTATTTCCTTTTTCATAAAGAGAAGCAACAAAGCTACCTAAGTAATCCTCATAGAAGCCTTGTTAGGCCAGTTCAAAACAATAATCATATTGAGCTGCGAAGGTGGATGACTGATAAGATGAATCCCTAGCATAACGGTGAAACCTTGTTTAGCTAGAAAATATGCTACCATATTGCTTTCAAGACAGGTATGCTGCAGAATTACCTCCCATTCTCTGCCAAGACTATGGACTTCCTTGATATGCTCATAGTCATAGTCACATGGTGTTCAACATTTGGCTCATTGCGTAAGAGATCTAGGGCCTCCATAGAATCTGTCTCAAGAATGATTTTCCTATAACTAGCATCCCAATACACCTTAAGTCCAACCATATATGCCCATATCTCAGCGGCCTTGCTATCATCTCTATCCATCCAACTAATAAATCCCTTCATAAATTTAACATGAGCATTCCGGAGAAGCCACCGCAAATGGACAAATTAGTCATAGGAGAGCGCCATCAACATGTTGGCAGTAGCAATGTAAAATTTATTCGGAATCATGCCTAAGAACACTATTTTTAAAAGCAATTCCGACATAATTGTCGAAGCTCTCCAAGATTAAGCAAAACTGTCTTGTAAAATTAGACAAGGTGACAGAATAGTAGAAATAATTCAGAGGAAAAGTGAACTCAGGAAGCAAAGTACAAGAGAGGAATGGGGCTGCTAAAAACTCAAAAGAACCGCATTAGTTTCATGTGCACACTACTATATATAAGCACTAGCCGGACAACACTATTTTGAAAAGTTAAAGAACCAACATTTCACCGTTTGAGCACAATAAAATAGCATTAAAGAGCAGCATTTCTGTATGTTGGAACAAACTTAATTTGCCTATTATTAAAAGAAATAACGTTGCCCATCAAAATGAATATTAAAAGAATAAAGCCACCGTTTCAAATTTCAAATGAAGCATATCCATTCCACCCATTAAGAGAAGTAAGGGGCGGTTAATGACATAAAGCCACGATTGGAAATTTAAATTCTAAAATGGCAAATAAAGAATTTTCGGTGAAGCTTCTCTGAAATAAATATTTAATTTTAGTCAAAAATAATTTCACAAAACAAAAGGTACTGGAACATCTCCTCATCTTGACTCATTTAACGACCCACTTCCACTCTTTGGTACTTATACCCTTAAAGCTCTTCTCGTGAGCAATATAGGACTTATCTTTTGACATACCTACACAATAATTACAACACGACATTCAATTTAATCCACCTATCCTAAGGGCTTCCAACCTTCTGTTCTGTTCACAGTCATAGCAGTAACATGGCTATGTTTATACAATTTACTCAGGCTTCTTATGTAGATTCAATCATAACCATTGCCTGTGAAATAACCTCATAATGTCTTGTACGCTTTTATTCACAAACATACAGGTTATGACGCCTCCATAAACCTCAACAGATTGTCATCAATAATTCTCCCCAATCAATCTGAGTTATTCTCCTTCCTCAATAAGTTCACCAATATCCAGTCATGCAGATCGACGCTCATGAAACGGTGCCAGAATGTGGGTGAAATGAGCTTCTTCCACATCATTTGAGTGTTGGCACAGTCTCGAAGCACATGAAGAACCCCCTCCAATGCCTCATTACACAACAGGCTAGTATCATACTAATAGCCTTTAAAATTGGGAGAATGATAGTTAGGTCCCAAAACTTTGAATTAATGATAGTTGAATCTCCAACAACTTTTTTTTTTTTGAAAAATTAGTTGAAAATATTGATCTAGATAATTACAAATCCAAGAGTTTTAATTGCAAATAAGTATTTAAGTATTACATGTACTCTTAGATGGAAACATAAATTTCTATTTGTAACTGTTTAAGTTGATATTTATAATTCATTTTGTAAAAAATTTTGTCGAAGGTTTAACTTTTATTAATTTAGTGTTTTGGTACTTAATTGTTATTTTCCTTTAAAATTTTCCTTTTAAGTCTTTTAACTAAGCCTTCAATTACCACTAGGTTGAGCACATGTGCACAACACCTCATTTATAAGTAATCCCACCACATACTAGACCCTTCCAAGCCTTAAACCTCTTCTTTAGATATGAAACAATTGAGTCATTGCTAATGCATTAGTCAGGTTATTGTGAGTACCTTATCAATACCTCAATCCATTAGACATTGCTTTATTGTCTTTCCTATTGTGTCACCTTCATGATTTTCAATCACGCAAAATTTTTGAATTCTTTTTGAAAATTCAATTTAGGATCAATGAAGTAGGCAATTACACACATGCAATTGGTGTTCTAATTTGATGTCCAACAATACATTGTTATGCAGACATAATTGGCACACTCTTCAACATCTTTAATACCTTCATTTCTCCAAGATAAAACTGCCAAAAATTTCTTGTAGCAATTGTTCTTGATGGGATTGAAAACTATGGTTCATGTCATGCACCAATTTTGTGAATACAGGCTTCTCTACAAGCCTAACTGGTTGTTGATCATAAATTATGAACTCTGCAAGGGCCCTTTGACATTGCTTTTCATTATACATGAGGGACTAAGCCAACTAATACATCATCAACATGGATTGCTTTTTTTTTTTTAATCTATTGTTGCTTTGTGTAGGTTCTTGGCACATTTTGTTATATACCGCTTTAGAGAATTTGTCCCATGGTTAATTGGATTACAAGCATAATTTATGTGGCAATATTTGCATGCTACTCTATGTTCCCCAGTTGTTCCTTCTAATGATAATCTAAAAAAAGAAAAAAAATCCCCAACTTGTGATGTCCTAACCAGCCAACCTCCTGATGGTTCTGGCTCTTTTCTTTTCTAACCTCTATATTTTGGCTTCTTGAGGGGCTTTTCTTGTGGTCGATTGAGCTTGAGAAGCAACAGGTTGGGTAGGTGCAAGGGGACAAGGATTAATATTTTCTTTGTGGTGATGGGGAGGGTCCAAAGGCAGTAGGGGCAGTAGCAAGCCTTGTGGGTTTTGGTGTTTCAATAGGAGTGGATGACACATATATAAGGAGATTGCTCAGTACTAGCTGGTAGGGGTTAGCGTTGCCGCATAATTTTGATCCACCACATCAAACTCTTAAACAATAAATATAACAAACACAACAATTACAAAGTTGTGATTAATACAAAAGCAATTCATCTTCAATTTTGGAATATACTAATGCAGTGCCAAATTTTAAACTGTTGCAAAACCAATTAAAGAGATATTATGCAAACCTTACTAACTTCACACCAAGCGAGACAGAGTTCAAGCTAGTAGTGTTAGACATGTCAAAATAATATTTGCAATCAAATGAAATTCCTAGAGGGTAATTTCGTCACTTTTTATGACACTGATTAAGTGAAAAAGGCTCATTCAAAAAAGAGGTTTGAAAATATTAGGTGTCATGCCAAGTGGCATCCTACATGGCATTCCATGTGACAATTGTATTTCAAGTGGTGATACACGAAACATTCAATTTCTAAGCTGCACACATGGATGTAAACAAATTAAATATCCTATTCAAGAGGGTTAACAATTAATTCATTTTTTTAATTTTCTATGTAATTTTATTATATAAAAAGTCTTCTAGGGCTTAAAGGATTATTAGGTCTTTTAAAGGAACTTTTAGATATTTAGAATTATCCAAATAATCTTTTGATTCTCTTAATAATTTATCTTAATTAAATTAGGACACTGTTTAGACATCAAACTAAGTCAATTATTTTTTTATTTTATTATGTATTAAGGGGGCGGTAGAGCTCATTTATCTCAATTTGGGTTTCATTAGAAATTTTAAAGAGTTTTACTTAGATTAGGATGATTCTTTTCCTTTAAAGGCACATATTGTAAACTATTTTAGGAGAGGAGAGTTGAATAAAAATTGATTTATTTGCAAGTTGAATATTGGTGGGATTGTGTTCATGGCTGAGCACAAGGGCTTCCTTTTGAGGTGCCATCTTTATAATTAAGGATCTAAGGACAAGTTATGGTTCTAATTTATTGATAACTTCTAACTTCTGTGGGAGTGACTTTGGGGTGTATTTCTTGGTTTCCTGCGACA